TTGCATGAGCTGTTTCGGATATTTCGTCTCATGGCCTGGCTTATTTCGTTTCGACGCTGCTGAGACCTCCTTTCGCGGAATATTACTCAATGACAGGTGAGTTGACCAGTTGCCTTTGATTCATTTGCTGGTGTTGACTCTTTCATTCAGGAAAAGTGTGCTGATTTTGGGGCGGAATGCAATAAATAATGGAAAAGTTGACAGGATCTCTTTTCTAAATTTTGCTTTTCTGCTGCCGAGCTGCGAGGCCTCCTTTTACGGAATACTCAATGACAGGTGATCTCTAAGTTTACCGGTTTCCTTCGATTCATTTGCTTATGTTCACCTTTCATTTACGGAAACGTGTGCTGATTTTATTCGGATTTAGATCCATTTTTATCTCTTTGGGAGTCTTTGCCCTTGTCTACAGTGTGCGAAGAACGCGAGTTCAACTTCTTGACGGTAAGGCTTATGTTAGATGTGTTGTCGAAATACTCATATTCATTGTACATTGGTACGTTACAAGTAAGGCACTGGTCAGTGGCATACTATCGTTGGCAGTTCCCAATCTGGAGGGAAAGGTTCAAGTACCAATTGACCGAGTTTGAAAAATAAGTTCGCATATCAGGGGAAATCTCTATTGTGGAGAGGTTCAGTAACTTGTTTGTTTCATACGAAACAAGCCAATGGGTGCAGTCCCGTCTCGTGAAAATCTCGTTTGCGCGGGCCAAGTGCACATACGCCATGACCCGATCTCACGAAATTTCCTACGACAGTTCATTTCGCGTTCCCTGCAAGTTTCGCGTCCAAAGGTGCGAAGTTTTGCACTTCATGATGTAGAGCGAAAGTTTGTACGCATTTTCGTTTTGCAGAATCTCTCTAGTGACTCAATTGTTTCATACGAGACGAGTCAATGAGTCGGTGTGGCTTAGAATCTTTCGCTGTAGAAGAAATCTATTCGTATGTCTATTGGAGAAATAATTGTATTCACTGGTTATAAAATAGGTTAAGACAAACTCACAGAATAAATACCATCGGTCCCTTGGTGTTCGTCCTAAAGAGGTTCGACTGGATATCATTCATACTCACCAAAAGATATGTAAGATTTTATCATTGTGGAGTGCCTTGTTTATCTCTCAGTACCTCCAACCATAGCCTTGCCCCTTTTCTCCTCAGGATCAGTGTAGTTGTTGGAACGAGGTTTTGGACTCAGCAATGTATTCGTTTACATTTTAATACATGTTTATTGTTCCTCCTTTGCTGTGTTGTTTTAGACAATCGTGGACTAACAGTTTGAAGTCATTGAACTACTTCCAAAAGTTGTATCGACATCAACAGGATTACGATTTCAGTTTCAATATGATGCTGGATGACCTTATCACGATAACCCATGACTATAAACCATTATAAACACAGAATCACCAAAAACATCTGCGACACGCACCTGGCGCATGGCTACATTTCTCAAATAAATCTGATTGAGGGTGGAGAAATCTGAAATATCTGAAAGGCAAGACAATTTTATGACAGAGTCATGAAATTCTGCAACAGCAACATGCACAGAATGACCTCCGTATAAAAAAAGTATCACCACCACTGCTCACATGTTTCCCCGCAGAAGAACATGCATTATGCTAGTGCCATTTTCTGCAAGAAAAGGCTTGCACATCAATGCGTATAATATGGTATTGATATGATGTGAAGGCCATCATTTACATATTGATATAGGGAATTCCATTGATTGGTGACAGAAAAAACAAAAGAAATTATAGCAATAAAAACTGCTTTATGGCAGTTTTCTAAAAAAGGTTATTGTGTTCTAGTCCATGGACCCCGTCTAAAAAGTAAGAAATTAACGAAATGTGATAGCTGAAAATTAAAATTTCACACAAAACCTCACAATAATCACAACACTTGAAATGCTGCTTTCAACACTAAACTTGTACTGCACCAACAATTGGCAACATGCATGCATAGGAAAGAGGATCACGAGGGGAAAAGGTCTTCTGCATGTAGCTTTTCATTCTGTGTGTGATTATTGTGAGGTTTTGTGGGAAATTTTAATTTTCAGCTATCACATTTCGTTAATTTCTTACTTTTTAGACGGGGTCCATGGACTAGAACACAATAACCTTTTTTAGAAAACTGCCATAAAGCAGTTTTTATTGCTATATACTCATAGAGGCTACCTGTACACATACCGGTAGTTCGTCTACAGCAGTCTGCCAGAGCTGCTTCCAGAGCTTACCAAATCACACTCGTGCCGTCGACGCGTCGTGGTCTCATACTCATACTAGTAGAGTGCTGCAACGCTGTGTAGTATCCCTGACTGTCACTTTCTGACATGTCACAAGACTGTAGGCACGGAGATGACCAATCGCATTGCACCTAGCAGGGCCTAGATGAGGCGATCAAAGCAGGCTACAAGAAGTAGAACTCCATATTTAGTGGAGCGGGCTTTGATTTTACGATCAAAGCCCGCTCCACTAGGCCTAGGGCTTTGATTCACTGATCAAGCTCGCTTTTTTTTTACTCGGCTCGGGCTCGAGAAGGCTGAGAGTCGTGCTTTCAAGCAAAATAGGAAGATCGAAGTGCGTGTTCATGTCAGAAATCCAATCAAAACATGGTTAACAGTCGTGTTCATGCTCTATCAGCCAATCACAGCCCTTCGCGAAGTATTTACAAGTTCGATATGAGTTTCAAGCGTGGCTGCATGTCAGAAATGCAATCAAAACACTCGTACTCGTGCTCGATCAGCCTGCATCACAGCTCTTCGCGCTTCGCGCGGCGGGCTGTGATTAGGCGATCTCACACTCGTACTCTTGCTTGATTCCATACATCACACAACCTCCTAGTTACATTGTACTTTTGTACAGGCTACATGTACATTCTAAGTGCTTCTCCCGCGCTACCACTTATATTAGGACTAGATCGCCCTGCATGCTTGCAAGACCGGTATACGGTACGGCATGAGGCTAGCGCCCATTCATACTGTACTATGCATTACATTGATTCCTGTACTAGACTGTAGTCCTACTTCATGCACCATTGCGCATCCCCGGCCCTCTCATCAGCAGATTCCCTCGCTCTATTCAGCTTCTCTTCTTTGAATAGCGTATTTCCCGGCATCCTTCTCGCTCCAATAACCTTGATAACTAGCCCTACAAGTAAGATTCCTTTTGCTACACAGTTTTAGATGTCATTCCTGTTGCCCCACCCGTTGCTCGCCACTTAGGTCCATTCTTCCCCCGCACTGTTTCTTGTCCTGTTGTTCTCCTGCTTTCTTTTGCCCTCACTCCCAGCTGCTCTGTCCCTCTGGCCTATATAAACCCATCATTCTTTCTCATTGCATTGTGGAATTATGAAGTGAAGAGTTTTAAGGGGGCACATCACCCAAAAATTCGCTGAAAAATCGAATTTGTAAATTCATATTGAGTGCTACGTCAGTTGAAAGAGCATGAATAGCTGCAAATTCTCTGAAAACTGTGTCCCTATCTGACCAGCCGTTCAAGAGTTATGGCCGAAAATGTGCCCTTGCAAGGAAAGATTTTTTTGTTGCATGCTGTCATTTGTTGGCAGCACTGTATTTGAATGTGAGCAGACCGTGCGCAACTTGTCGTATTATGGAAACACGCGAAAGTGTGCAGAATTTTGCCCCAAGTCCAAAAAAGTCCAAAAAATCACGTTAAAAAACCACGTATTGGGCTGCACGGCGGCGGGCGAAGCCCGCCGCCGTGCAGCAGGACTTTTGCCAGACGTTGCAGATATGTGGCTTGATTATTGTAGTTGACGTTGATTTAGTGACTTTGGCAAGTTTGAGTCGTGTCAAGAAGTCAGGTAGGATTCAGTACTAGGCAGTAGTGAAACGTGAGTGGCAGTCTTTGCCGGTTTCTGAGGGCATCCTGGATTTGGTGTGCAGCGCTGTGGAAATGGCTTGCTGTGGAGGTCCCAGCACTGGATGTTGTATCAAAGGTACGACCTCGTAGCACGTGCTAAACCTAAAAAAATTCAAAAATTGACTTGGGCCTGTGGGAGTCCGCGAGAGAACGCCCACTCGTTCCGTTGGGAGAGAGAGAGAGAGAGAGAGAGAGAGAGAGAGAGAGAGAGAGAGAGAGAGAGAGAGAGAGAGAGAGAGAGAGAGAGAGAGAGAGAGAGAGAGAGAGAGAGAGAGAGAGAGAGAGAGAGAGAGGGAGGGAGGGATGGATGGAGGGAGGGAGGGAGGGAGGGAGAGAGAGAGAGAGAGAGAGAGAGAGAGAGAGAGAGATTGCAAGATTCATTGGTCCAGTCTTTGACGTTGGTGAACCAATTGTGACCGGGGCGATTATCAAAATAGCAATAGGACTTGTACTGACTTGGAGTGACAAAAACAAGGATACGAGTAAGAAAGTAGCACATCATGACTAGTAATTGAAGATGATGGGACATTCAGCAAAGGTACATGTAGCGCTGTATAATGTGGCATATCAATAATCATGAGCTGAATAATCAATGTGGAGACAATAGCGAAGTTATAAGTTCCGACGGGACAGCCCCACTAGGAACCAACTCTCCCTTCCTCTAGCCCGCTCTTCTGCATTGCAACACTCCCCCCCATTTCAATGGCTATTCGCAGTGGCTTTTGCTGCACCAGGAGACAAAGGGCCTTTCTACTTTAAAACAGCATTCAGGAACGCCTTGCTTTAGACCACAATTTTAGTCCATATTAACTTTTTTTCCTTTCTTTTTGACTTTTACTCTTTTCCTTGTTAGCTGTGATTGGCTATAAAAACCCTGCAATCGCCACGCAAAGTGGTCATTGGCTACCCCACCCATGTATTGCTTGGAATAAAAAATATACAAAAAATATGGAGAAAATTGTAACATGGAAAAACGTGGGCACAAGTTATGTGATCGAGTCCATGATCCACCAACTAAACCAGATTTTGAACAGTCAGACGTGCACACTCTAGCACAAAATTTTCAAATCTTTTCCATGTTACAATTTTTTCCTTATTGGCTCACCATCTGAGTTCTTGAAAATAAGGAGCATAAATACAATGTAGACATCAACAATTGTCGTGATTAGGCTCATCAGTGGAGAATGCTGAACTGAGGTGGTACACACCAATGGAACATTTGCAGTCAGTAGTAATTGAATCAAGATCCACTTGTAGAATCCTGGGATGCCAGTTCACTCAAGCTGCCGCGTGGCAATTCCCGACTAGTATATAGCTAGCCGTGCCGCCGAGGCTCTTCTGGCAGGGATAGTGGATAATATAGTTGTGTAACATGCTGTCTGTTTTAGCCTGCACAGTGAATACCAATTCCATGTAGATGTGTTTGGCTGCACTGGGCATCCATGATGACACAAACAAAGTTAATATGTTTATGTTTCACCCGTAGGTTGTGCCTAGTCGGCATTATGATCAGCAGCCAATGTGTGTGTGGGGAAGGTTCAAAGTACTTGTAGTTCAAAGGGGAAATTCTTAGCAGCACATGGATTACTAGTTACAGCTCGGTTAGCAACACAGGCCATTTTTATCATCAACAGCAGTCCACACTTGAACAGAAAGAGACCAACTAAGTTACACAGGATCACTAACTATGCTTCTCTTCCGGCAGAGCGCATTTGCCAGCCTTCTCAAGTACCTCGGAATCGCCTTGAACAGGCGATCCACTTCAGTCTTGTAACATCTTCTTGCAAGCACGAACACAAAACTATCAACAAACAGTGCTGTGATCCAAAGACGTATTGCCCAAATAGGAAATTTGGGAGGACTCGTCTGGGTCTCCAGTTCCAGCCAGAAGAATACCTGTAGACAAAACATGATGTACCACAAACATACCACTGGATCGTTCTTCAGTGCCAGTCTAACATAAGTCAATTTGTCAAACATCTTTACTGTTATAGCAAAGGGTTTGCTCCAGTGTGGGGAGCCAACCTTTTGCTATAAAATTATCGTGGTAGTCGCTACCACTGTTTTATCTTTACTTGGTTGGCACTTTTAAAGTAGGATTGGTTAGGACTAGTCTGTAACGTGTTTCAGAATGGGAGTTTCCATCCAAAGCTGAGGCTTGCTGATGGATAAACTGCAAGAAGCCAACTTGAAACCGGCCTCTCCATAACGTTAAAACACAAACATGCCTAAAAGTTCCAGTCGTCAAACTTACAATTCCAGGTAGCTTGGAGAGAACATGTGACATGGAAACTGCCAGTGCTAATTTGGTCAGGGGAGACATCTTCAAGCGATGGTGAAGAAGCTGTAACTTCTCCAGAGATCTTGGTCGGGCATTCTGGTGCACTACTCGATCTCGATCATGTTGAGTTTGTATTGGATGAGATACATGATTGTAGCTGTGGCAGCGGCAGTGCAACAAGTACATCCCTTTTGAGGAAACCTTGACCACCACACAGGCGTCGTTTATCTGCATTGTTGGCTCAAGTTCTCTTGGCAACAAACTCTTGGTTCTTTTAAAAACTTTCTTTGCCAGATCGATGTGAACTAGTTTCGGTAGATCTGTGTCACTGAGCGACCTTTGGAGGGGTCTCGGCTCTAAAGTAGGGTTTCCGCTGGCTGCGTACTTGTTCAGCCTGTAGCCAATAGTTTTCCTTTTGCTCCATTCCACACCAAGGGAGGATATCTCCTGGAGCTGTGTCTCATTCTGCTCGGGGTTTTGTGATGTATTCTCCATTAGCGTGTCCACTGTGTCTAGCAAGGATTCGTCCCAGTGCTTCACTGGTACAGGTGGCTTGTAGAGTCGCCGGTATGCGAAGAACAAGACGAAGTGCAGGGAGAATAGAACCACCATCAGGCTAGTAGCAATGACCCCTATAATCAAGATGGCAGTGTGACCGGCTGCCGAGCGTAAGTCTAGCAAGCATACATTGCTGTAGATTCGAATATCTAGATGAGCAGTGGCAGCGATGAGTACGCCACTGCCCGGCAGCAATACATGCAGGACAATGACAGGGATGATTAGCCGTGTGTTGAATGCAAACCAGCGATCATAGACGAACGGCTTTCCAATGGACAGCAAGCGCAGGAGTGTGATGAACAGAGCATTCACAACTTGCATCAATCCCATAGTTAGCAACACACTGCCAAAGAACTGGCACGCAAAGGAGTCCGCGGTAATGTTGCTCCATATGTTCAGAAACTGAGCAGCCAGAGGGAGGTAGAACACTGAAATGATGACCATACCACTTGTCAGTTCAACCAGGAAGAAATAGTCCAGCAAGCAGCAGTTGAGACGCGAGTTCCAAAGCACGACGAATGCCAACACAGCAGTTAGCGTGTAAAAGATCACGAGTAATGTGTCTAGCACAAAATCGCCAGCGTCATACGACCCGACAGATGGTGCCAATTCACTGATATTCTCCATGGCAACTGTTGTAAACACCGCACCACTGCTGAACAGGCGAGATGAGTGCAGCTCTTGTGCTGTCACCATAGTAACACAGCTATCGTCAGTGGGCTGGCTGAGAGTGCTACAGGTAGTGGTGCAGGTAGTCAGTGTTCTGGCATGTGGGTAAGCTGGTCGTCATCGGAGTGAACAGGAATAGATGTGACAGTCGGCACTGCACAACAGTTTGTTAACAACTTACATGTACATGCGGATGATGGGATTAATTGACAGCAGCTTTCGGAGAGGAGTCTGGGGTGGCACACACCATACGATGATGGGGAACACTTTGGGTTGTCTCCCAAGAGCTCACAGTCACACAGGAAGCAACGGTTCGTCTTCATTAGCGAACGTCAACAGCAGCACAGTTGTGGTACATAGAGACTGGACAAAGATTGAAACAAAAAATGAAACACAGCCCGCTATTAAAGGCAATGGACTGGGAATGACCATATTCAGCGCCGTCAAGGTACCCAGCTATCCTAAGTACATGACTGTTTGCAGACTAGATGATGGTCTTGTGCTTCATCAGTTCTCCCAGCAATAGAATATTAGAAATTATGCGATTAGACCATCAGTTGAGAGCTTTGGTAAAGCCAGGGCACAGCCACGCACTAGCTTAAGCAAAATTTCCGATTCTCTCTGAATACGAATCCGCCGACTCACCATGTACATGTATACTTAGCACCACCACATGATGACCTCATTTTCATAACCTCTATACAAGGGGTGTGACTACCATCATCATCACCATGACTAAAATAACCTGGATCGGCCTCACAAATACTATGGCAGAACGACTTTGAGGTTTTAATTTTTATTGCAACTCAAGTCTCACGCTTATTGTGCAATCATCAGACAAAATAATTCTACAAGCCCCCACTGCACTGGCAAGTACAAGGAAACTCTGGACTTTGCGGTATTGAGCACTGTGCATGTGTGGAAGACAGAGGAATACTGCTACAATACGTGTACATCTATCTATCTACTCCGGATCCTCTATACTAGACTGGAGCTTACCGGCGTGATCATGGTAATCCCGACACTGGGTCCCATGCAGCTAATGGTAAGCAGCAGCGCTTGGCGACTAACCACTACAAGTCATTCAGTGCGGAAATAGAAACGACTCCGCAGCAGCTCAACCCTAGGACTCCGAGTATGAGGCTATGGCAGTTTCTCCTCACCTCGCCGCGGCGATCGAGCTTAAATTGATAATATCCGTCTCATCGGAAAAACAGCTGGTGTAGAATGTGGTGCATCGTTAGACCGAATTTATTCTCTCAGCAAAAAAACCACGCACCTTTTCACACCTTCTTTTTCCTTGCTGCACTTGCTAGCTAAAAGTAAAAGACTAAGTAACTGGAAAATCGTCGCCTGCGAGTCGATGGTATAAATCCCGGCGGGTGCAAATATCCTAGCTACTGTAAGTGGGCTTCAACGCCGGTTACACAGCAGAGCGCTGTAGACGTAGTGACTAGTGTAGGTCTACAATGGCAATGTGTGCTGCTATTGCTGCTATTCAGCTGCATTTAGTGTGAACCAAGGCAAGGAGTCAGCCCAGTGTTTCTTTCGCCCTACCTCTCACCGCACCGGGTGTTATGATGGGACAACCAAGGCTGAAATGCAGCTACAAGATGTAGTTTTCGAGTGTCTGCACATTAGTTAGGAATTTCCGCACTCAGCGTCTAAGCACTCTTGTCTTGTTGCGCCCGTGTTTGGATCACTTGCAGTGTATCAGAGCCTAACGTGTTACCAGGGAGTCGTATATACCCATACCTGGGTATATACGACTCCCTGGTGTTACCTACTTACAAGCAGTCGCCAAACCGGACATCCCCAGTTTGACCTGAGGAAGATCAATGACGTGACATCTTCCATCACATGACGGTGACTGATATCAATAATAATTACTACCGTATTACATGTACATTGTATTCGCCACCGACCATGCCATGATATGCAGACGTGGCGGCTTCTCCTGGCCCATTATCCGCCACAACCATGTCCGGGACTACATTGCCGGCCTTCTTGGCAGAGTGTGCAATGCAGTGGAGACGGAGCCTGTCCTTCAACCCCATGCTGGTCAAGCTCTTCCAAGGGCCGCCAACACTGACCCTCCTGCCTCAGGCCAGACTGGAGGTCAAGGGGAGGGGCCTCTGGTCTCTATCCCAGCGTGTCCTCTTACATGACTATAAAAATAAGTCCCTCTCTGCGACGTACAGATGGCACGAGGAGCAGAAGAAAGCGGCTTCTGGTGAGCGGATCAGGCGGGTGAAGAGGGGCAGCTTCTGTCCATTGCCATTGGTGTTCTCCTCTGTCGGGGTGGGGGGGGGGGGGGAGCTGGCGGCGCGGCCCGGAACGTGTTGAAACGTCTTGCTGCCTGGCAGCGGCAATCTACAGCGTCCTTATTATGGGACAGATCCGCTGTGAACTTGGCCTCACACTAGTCCGTGACTCCGTCATGATCGGTTGCGTGGTAGTCGGAGGAAGGTGAATTTTAGCCATCACCCCAGCGATGTCCTGCAGCATGAGTCACTCATGCCAGTTGGACTCGAGTCATTTTGTCTTTGGTGCCTGTGCCCGATGATGGTGTCCCAGGTTTGTTCGCCAGCCTTTTGGTGCTATTGCCGTTCATCCTCTGTCTTTGTTTTTTTTATGTTTTGCTGTTTCCTTTCTGTTCTTCCTCTTTGCTCAAGTCCAAGTATTTTGCCATTTTGTTGTGAGTCCGCATGCTTCGACTCGAACTCGCAAGGTTGATCATTATCCCTTGCACGTTTTAGGACTTGTGCCGCTGAGTCCTGAAGTTATTGCTCATTGGGGTTTTTTTTTTATTGTTTCTCAATTCATGTGCAAGGTTGATTGTTATACCTTGCACCAATGCACGCCTGTGCCCTTAAGGCCTTTCCTGTTTTATTTAATCTCAACTGTATTATCGATTATGACCATGATGACAGTAGTACTTTAGGTGCACAGCATTAGCTAGTAACTTGTTAGTAGTAGTAGTAACCAGTGGTAACATCAAGAGTATTCTTATAACCCCGGAGAGGTTACTCTTGCCTGTCTTGGTAACATGTGCGGTACTTGACTTGTGACAAGGTGTAGTTAGAGGACTCCTTTCCGCGCCTAAAATTTAACTGTTCCTTCAAGTGAGAGGACGCGGTCACGGATGAGCAATGCCTACCGTAGTACTTGTGGTACTTCGAGTGACGAACTGCAGTGCAGTAACCCTAAAGTAATACAAATGGCATGATTATGAAGTGGAGAGAGCCCACTCCGACGGTGGCACAGAGTGGAGAACCTCCGGAGCTCCGGGTAAGCTTTTACATTATGTACAGGTACTAGGTACAGGTACTAGGTACAGGTACTAGGTACAGGTACTAGGTACAGGTACTAGGTACAGGTACTAGGTACAGGTACTAGGTACAGGTACTAGGTACAGGTACTAGGTACAGGTACTAGGTACAGGTACTAGGTACAGGTACTAGGTACAGGTACTAGGTACAGGTACTAGGTACAGGTACTAGGTACAGGTACTAGGTACAGGTACTAGGTACAGGTAGTACTTCAAAGCACTAGTACTAGTCGAGCAGGTATGATCATTACGATTCAGATAGCCAAACTGCCGTGTTGTTAGCACTTATTCATCCACCAGATAAGAGAGTTCTTAGGGCCCAAACTAACCAAAAGCAAAGGGATTCAAACCGCTCTTGGTAGGTATTTGCCCGTTTTCCCACCTCACACATTTCCAAACTATTGTCTCTTTTGTGTAGCTGTGTCACCACGTGACTTCTTGCTCTTGCTTCACCTTGCATGACTCTTTCAAGATCTTGAGACTTGACTGCATGACTGAACTCGGAGTCATTCACTAAATCCTAAAAATTATGAATAGAGGTTATGCGATTACATCACCAGTTGAGATGCCTTGGCGAAGTCACGGCACAGCGCTGCATGTGCACAAGCGATACACACTGCATACATACATAGTGCCCATGAGGAGTTCCGCAATACGGTACTTCACACCCATAAACTCAGTGATATGATCATATCCCCTGGTGCTGGTACTAGCCTAGCATGGGAACAGATGGCAACTGAAAAACAAGCATCCTGCCATGGGCTAACCTTCAGGCTGAGTCACTCCATCATATCCAAACATGTTACCGGTGAGTTGGCACGGTCAGGTGATTTGTCCTGCCTTTACCATGGCAGCATAAGGTGTGTGTGTGGGGGGGGGGGGGGGCTACACCATGTCATTCTACACACACGGTCCGACTTCAACAGGCTACTTGCACCGGCCTGTGTGACTTGGGAAAGCACCGTGAGTCAACAAAGTACGCACTATAGGAATCAGTATGCTATGGTTGAGAGGAGTCTACTGGCAACTTTTGACGTCCTGTGACCAAACATGACTAGGAAAGGAGGTCTCCGAACTGAACGGGCTACTATGTAGAAGAGGAACATCTGCAACACGCCCTCTAAGATATTATCATTACACTTGAGGAATGGTGTGAATTATACTTGGCCAAGCAAACAACATACAGCACAGCACTCCTTTGCTCCACACAACTACTTGACTTGTCAACACAAGCGAGTACAAGAGGGACACGCAAAACAAAGAAAGGCTCTCGTTTCCGAGGGAACGCATGGTTCAGGGAGGTTTTGGTCCTTGCAGTCAAACTTTGCTCAAAGCATGATGACCTGACTGTCCTCTCACCAAATATCAGCATCATGATCACTGTGTATGTATGCATACTCTCTAGACATTGTTTGCAGATCACATCAGCATTGTGAAACCGGCCATATAGCGTCCATCTTTCAAGACGTGGCTTGTGCCGGCCGCCACTGCCTTGTCACGCTGGCACTGCTTACACCGGCCATACTCCTTGCACTGCTCCAGTAGATGTGTGGACTGGTGCTTCCGTGACAGCTCTTCCTCCCGGTCGCGCTGAGCCTTCTCCTGCCTGTTTAACATCCAGGACTTGATGAGCTCAGTCTGGGCTTGTGACTTGGCCAGGCACTCTTGATCCAACTCGGACCTCAATCTGCACCCGCGCGCACACGCACGCACACACACACATACACACACACACACATGTACACACGCACACACACACACACACACACACACACACACACGCACACACACACACACACACACACGTTCATACGAACACGTAGAAACGCACACACACACACACACACACACACACACACACACACGAAGTTTGATAGCAACTATGTTCATTGTGATACTTTCAAAGTTTCAATTCAACCCCAGTTCTCTGAAGGACAATTGTATCTTGCACATTCTGTGCACATTTCAGATAAGAGGAATGAACTTACTCTTTGCGAGCCTTGATCAGCATTCTGCGTTCATGCTCCTTTTCAATTTTCTGAGCTTTGCGCTGGCGCTGGGCTTTGAGCTGTGACATCATGTATTGTTCTTGCATGGTGGCCTGTGCTGCTTCCCGGTCTTGTTGGCGTTTGATGGCCGTTGCACTGGCTGACGGGTCATCGTCAGTAGAACCGACCATTTGGGTACCGACTTGTTCTGGCTCGGTTCTTATTCTCGCATTGGTCTCAATCTAGTCAGAAGTAAATAACGCATGATATGGTGAATATTCATTAGTTGAGGAAATATAAGTGGGAAAAGTCTGAAGAAAAACTTGTGAACGCTTCACATGAAGATCCAAATAAGATGGACACTCCGGGCACTCTTGTTATTATGCCGCTTCATGCTGTTGTCAAGACAACCGTGCTGCCGGTCTCAATGACCCCTTGCAACTCACCTGATCACGTAACGACTGGCGGTACTTGCTGGTATCCTTCTGCCTCTTATCAACGTAATCCTTGTACGACGATGCCAATCTGTGCATTAAAGTATCACAACGCCGGAAAGCACCGCAGATGATAAGCACCAGGGAGTAGTAAAATACCGGTATTTTATTACTCCCTGATAAGCACGCATGACTTCAAAAACATCTGACTTGTGCACGCCCTAGGTTGAAGTGTGATCTGAAGACCCTTGCACCCGCTACTGAACAGCTGAGCTGCTCGTTATCGACCTAAACCGATCTACAGTGGTGCCATGGCGGGGAATGAAGGTGTTCCTACTTACTGGTCAGCAAGGTGGATTCGTTCCAGCCGCTCATCCAGTGTCCGCTGCCGCTCTTTCTCAGCCCATGTCTTCGCATTGATATCCATCTAAACCAACCGATAAGATCAAATCGGAAAGAATTCCAAACTCAATGCCTGGAGAACAAGACCGCCAGAGCTCGGCAAGGAACACTCACAACAAGTGAAGAAAATGTTGAACGGTCTCTGCTGGGATGACAGCTACACCATAGCTCAGTGGTTAGAGCATCACTAACCTCAAGTAAATGTCCCTGGTTTGAGTCCTGGTGGTGACAATCAATGTTTTCTCAGACTGCTCCCGTTTGTATCTGTCCCCCAAACCAATGAATACTCCCAAGAAGCTCTGGCATTAAGTGTGTAATTTTCAACTCAGCACTCATATAATGCAGCCGACCAACTCATGATCACCTGCTCTTTCAGTTCGTCTCCGTATCGACATTGCTGCAGTGTTCGAGATGGAGATAGTGGACGATTTCTCATCAAAAACGATGCCTGAACAGCACACAGACGACACACAGCAGACACATAGAAACACAACTCTGTTGCACAGAACTAACACTTGCAGTGAAGATTATTGCAGCCAACATGAAACGTGCAGGGGACAGTGGCTAGTAATTTTTGATCTCCCAAAGAAGGGTCATCAGATCCACTGATCCAGCTCCATGTGCACTGTAGCCATTTATGTGAAGTGGCTGAGCCTAGGCTCCCTAGCTAAGCTGTGCTAGTTGGGCCAAACAGTTACTGTCCACAGATACGAGTAGGTGGCCATGTACATGTATAACCTAGGGTGCACCACTGTGCACTGGTAGTCAATTGGAGTACACTGCCTCAGATAATAGTTACCAGCAGAAACACAAAACAAACATAGCTTATGTACTAGTGCTGAGTCGGGTAGCATTTTCTTCGGGTATCGGGTTCGGGTAGTTTTCCACGGGTAGCATGGGTACCCGATCGGGTAATGTTTCCATGGTAACACCACAATGCACCCTCCCCTTACACACTGGGGGTGGACATGCAGAGAATTTGTACACGTGCACTGTACATGTCATAATGATGTCATCTGCGACTTCGGGTTTTCGGGTACTATTCTGTACCCGACTACCCGAGCTCCTCACGGGTAGCACGGGTACCCGAATACCCGTGCACACCCCTAATTGTAATACTAATAGGTATGAAAGTGATTACAGTACTCCGTATAGCATGGACGGCACACACATGATGAATTGGTCGACATGCACATTATGCTCACCTCATAACCCGATGGTCGCGTTCCTTTCACATCCTAATAGTACATGTACACACAGGGACAAACAGGTACACGGCATTTACTGATCAAACATTACACGGAAGCACACACATGCAGCTAAAGGGATTTTCGGTTTCTGAACCTAACTCTAATGGGTTCTGATCAGCACCACACATCCATTAATGAAAGCTTGTATGCCGTCCTACCGGTAGGGCCCAAGAAATCGCGCTCCAAAAGTGCTTTTGGTGGAGAAATTTCTTGGAACAATTGTTGAGATGAGGTCTTTGTCAGGCAAAGTAATGGCGCAAAATGCAAGGCTATGTCCAGTGCATTGCATACGCGCAATTTATCAATTGTCAAAATGGCCGCACATACTCCTGTCGGAGCGCTAGCAACTCTGTCCAAAGTGAATTTTGACCATGGCACATCAATCGTGGTGAGATTCTAATGTTTTTATTAATCTGCCAAGGCAGTGGAATGCATAATTCCATACTCCGTTTCCATGGTTACCATGGGCTGTTACCATGGAATGTCGTAGTATGCCTTGTGCGATCACGTCTAAAATTTGTGGACTCCTTCATTAGCCCCTGAGCAACAGTTCAGGGTCAAGTTTTAGGTCAATGTTAGAACAGAGGCCATGCAGCATGTCTGTGTATGATGGTCCTACCGGTAGGACCGAGGTCTATGCAAGCTATCATTAAGAGCTGCATCTGTGCCTTATCCTGAATGGTGGTGACAGATTTTGGAACGTCAGTCTAACTGACCCGCACATGCAAGCCACGATTCCGCTTTACAGAAGCACAGAGCACGCCACAGTACTCTGCTTGCATGCTTTGTATTCATCTTCTTGGCTGGGAATTGGAGGGAAATGAGCCATGCACAAACTCGAAGGCTTCCCAAGCACTGCATTCTCCTGGCCAGTGCAGAGGTGAACACTGGTGTACAGCAGTTTGAAGACAGTGGCTCTCGGCCATACCTGTATGGTCTCACCTGTTTGTGTTTAGCAACTTGTACATTATGCTTGTGTGTCTCTATTGCATGGTTTCTGGCCTGGATGATCCGTGCCTGTCAAACAAGAAGGTAAAGAACAAGTCCACCACACCAATATGTCACCATAGCTTACTTTTAAACCAAGACTTGCTCCTAACGCTTTACAAAAAGAGCACAAGAAAAACACATGCTAAACCGATCACACATGTGAATGAGATAGAAGACAGTTAGAAGAACGCCACCACGCAGGAAAACAATACATTCGGCTGGCGGCTATGCTCTCCATGGTCAGGAAATGATAGCAGCAGGGGCGTGCACACGGTACAGTCACTACGGTATTGACCGTACCACTATTTGCCCCAAGTACCTGTGAAGCAATAAAATGCACTGATTACTGTAAATCATATTATTTTAACGACCCGCAAAGTTAACGATTTACTGATTTTCGAAGGTTAACGGTTTGAAAACTTAACGATTTTCTCAGACAGATGCAATAATACTTCGAAGTACTACGAATGCTCGTCAAGGACATTCGTTGTTGTCCATCACAGTAAACCAGGAACGCCGCTGCGACATGGTGTTGAGAAGCAAGACATCGATCTCAGGAGAATAAAGAAAATGAAATTTATCAAGCGTAAGAGCGTAAAAATTTCCAATTTTTCGATCTCCTGCCACTTCGTCAAAATGCATCTGAGAGACTTCGGAGTTGTTCGAACCGACTGCTGAGCGTCTCTGCTATCATCTAGATCTTTCCATTGTTGAATTCCGTTGAGAATTGACCGAGTTACGATCCGTTGAACACGCGCTGCATGCCATAATGTGAAATGATCGATTTCAATCGTGCGAGGCCCGAATCATACGACTTTTGCTAACGAATTTTAAAATAGCGACTTATCTTTGCTCGTTAACTCGTTAGATGTACTTGTTCGTTACATATTCATGATTTACAGTAGGCCTTTTTCGGCTCAGCCACCCCTCCCCCACGAGTAAATTGTACTTCAGATGGCTGACCGTACCACACTATAATACCTTCCGACGCCCCTGAGCAGTCAGCACGCACCACATCTCACACACTCTCTTTGGGCTGCAGGGTTCTGGCATAAGCAAATCAGCACTATGCACTCTCACCACCAACATTAGTTTGCATCTGGTGCCACTGCCGGAGGCATCCACCCATCCCCCCTCAACCCCTCCTCTCAAATCACTTACCGTCGTTTCAACACCAATCTATATAAACACATCAATAACTTACTTTTTCTCTCGCCAGATACCAGTCGTCCTGTCTCCGCATGTGCACGGCTATTTGCTGATCATCGACTTCTTGCTGTTTTCGAATTTCATGCTTGAAGTCGCGCTGGACATTGCGACTTGCTCGCTGATGGCACAAGTAACACAGGTCCTGCCCGGTTCCAGTCCGGTGAGAACAACTGCTTGCCGCTTGCGACTGCTCTCTGATGTCTGGTAGCAGGCTAACAGCTGAGCCATCACTGCCGGGTGAGCTGGGACCTGATGACTTGCGATCGTCAGCTGCCGGTAGCCGTGCTGAAGGAGAGTGGCGTCCGTCTGCTCCATCATCATCATTATCATCTGTATGTATGTACATACATCACGGGGGCACACTCTTACAATGCATGTGGACATGCACATGTGGACAGCATGGCATGTCAAAGTTTCTAATGAGATATAGAGGTTGATACAATTCCATACCAATTGAGATGCTTTGGCCAAGTCGCGGAACAGCACGCTAGCGATGCACTAGCGGCTCACTCCACATACATGTACATAGTGGTTCCGCTCTATATTTAGCGCCCATAGGTGGATCCGGAATTCCGCTGACTCATTATTATGACTTATTTTGCATACTAGTAACCTAGAGTAGAGCTGCTGGCTTGTCCAGCCTGTCAGTAACGTTACCTACCTCAGTTTTTGTGCATGTTTGTGGATACCCTGGGCATGAATACAAGCATCCACACCCATGTACACGCATAGGCCTAGCAAGCCATTATCATGTGACACTAGTAAATAGCTTGGCAAGGACCTTTTAGACATGATGGCCAGAGGAAAATTGAAATTGAAGAAAGGTTCGTGCCAGGTAGCGGGGAGGGTGCAGCAAGCCAGTCCTGATAGACTAACCCTGATCCTCTTGGCTGGTGTCATCTTCTGATTGCTCTGATACGCCCTCCGGAATGATGCCGTGAACATCTCTTGAACGTCTTGCTGATGTCAATGATGAACCACCACCCACACCGGATACCAGCCTGCACACCAATGTCATAGGAGAGACCAGGGTTGAATGCAAACTGGTCAATAGGAGCATAATACTAGCTGGTAGCATGGCATTAAGGCTTAAACATGCTACATGTAGACAATCTCCTACCGCTCTGTACAGAGCCAGATGGCTGCACCCTGAACACTCCATGATCTCACAGCCAACAGTCTAGCCGATCCATTCACGCCATCAAGCGGCATATGCTGTGTGTGGACAGCAGTACTGTTATCATCCATAGCCCAAGTACAGCAATGCCACAGCACATTCAGTACAATGTATATCAACACGACGTCACGGAGACGTGTGCTGATAGACCGGCAGCAGTGGCAGCAGCTGTGGTGATGACGACATCATTAGTGCAGACAATGATAATGGCGACAACAAACATCAATGACAGCACCGCACAACATTGATGGCAAATGTGGCACCCGTACTCAGCAGCCAACAGTAACGCATCAGCTGTGGTGGCAATCGCATCACTAGCAGCTGCAGATAGTATGCATGTGACTTTGGGCTGCAATCATATTCGTACCTTGGTAAGACAACCGTGCTGCTAGTGGACCTGGATGGCACGGTAGAAGCGTGATTGCGAGACATTACGCTGGGATCAGCCACACTGCCACGTGTGTCCAGTCTCTGTGTGAACAAAGCAGGATTGGGATTAGTAATGGAGTAGGTAAACAGCAGTTTCCTCGGACCGTTCACTAACATGCGCTGCTGAATGTCACCCTCTTGTTCAGCAGCAGCTTCTGGACTAATGCAAAGCCTTCAAGTATATGAGCAATAGCATCAGAGCATCAGTGATCGTTCTTTGAGTGAAATGGCAATCCAACAGTTTCCATTTTGACTCCCCCCCCTCCCTTCCCCCTCCTGGCCCCTAGGCCCTTCATGTGCAAGTCAGAAGTCCCCCCCCCCCCCCAACCACCCCCACGATGCTACTGTACTCACAAAGACTTGCTCCGTTTTCCCAGAGCTGTCGAGCGTGTTCAGAAACTCGCGGAAGAATCGGAACTTGGCGTCGCGGTTACAGATACGCAATCGTCCAACTCCTGTAAGAACACCGGGTGAGATTGTTTCGTGTTAAGCTCGGCAAGATTGATCTAGAAACCAAGTCCTTGGTGCAGCGGAAACTGGCCTCATATGACATGCAGGATTCCGCTTGGTCCTGGGGCGCACGTTCGATCCACAGCACGCCGGTGCATTACAATTTGTCCGATCAATATAGGATCCAGGCATTCAATCCCTGGCTATGCTTTGGAATGTGTTTTCGTTGCCTATGTCCTCATCTCTCTTCGTTTTGTTTTCGCTGCCTGGGCTCTCATTTATCTTTGCGTGCTTGCTTGCTTGTATCGCTGAGGGAACATATGCTGGTTTGTATTCGTGGGTCCCCATGATGCATGGGCCACGCGTACTCATCCGGCGGATATGTGTGAATAATAGTGGTGAAACGAATATTCGAATATTCGAACATTCGTTCGGTTGGTCACGTTCGAATATTCTTTAAGTCGCATTCGAGTATTCGTGACGTCACTTCGAATGCAGTGCATGTACATACGTGCACGCCAAACACAGTACAGACAGTGCGTACAGCCTGCCTGTGACTTTATACTGCGTGTTTGCACATGTATGTTCATACTGGACTGCCAATGTTGCAAATAAGTTACGTATAAACTTCGAAGTAGCCTTATGTGGCAGTGCATTTTATGTGGCACTACCGTTAGTCATACCTAATAACAATGACAACATCCATCAAATGACTGAGAGGTCATGTGATGTCATCTGTGTTACCAAAAGAATATTCGTTCGTTCGTTCGTTAAGCCAAAGAATATTCGGCTACTAGGTTTTGACATTCGTTTCACCACTAGTGAATAATAATAATAATAATAATAATAATAATACCCGTTTGTCTCTTTCCCTCAAAACCAGTTAATATTTTATGACTTGGGGCTCCCCGCGTGCTAGTTTGTACGTGAAGTGTGTGGGTACAGTGAGGGCTGCGT